TTACATTATAAAATCAGTCTTCATATTCTCATTCCAGTTTGCCAAGTACAATTTTAATAAATTCAAAGAGCTGTATTGAGTCACATATTAAAAAAATTAATAGTTGCTTAAAAGAGCATTAAACTCTTCTGAGTATTTATGTTCCTACAAGGAGAAGAAAGGACTTCAGATCACAGCTGTAGATCCTGTGTTTGCATTCTGTCTTTCATAATACTTAGCTACTTTCAAGTTGGCCTCTAACTGGATATGGGAAAGTCATCTTTTTCTGCAGGGTTTTGGGATTTTTTTCAGTTTGGCTCAGTTACGACCTCTGATTTTCCTCTGTCCCTAGTTTTGGTCTCTGGGAACAGCAGAAACCACTAAATGTTTTTGATTATCCACTTAATCCCCTCAGGCGGTGTAGTGTCTTTAGTCTAGACTTTAGTGAAACGACATTTATTTGTTGAGCTTCTAGTTCTCAATTAAAAAATAAAAAATAAAATCTTGAGAAACTTCCTGTGGTTCCTTGTACAGACTCTTGGCCGGTTCATACAAGAAAAACACTGCCTGATATTTCATATTCATACTTTTATTCCTCTCAATACTTTTCAAAAACTAGTTCTATTTCTTTTTTGTTTTTTTTTTTTTTTCTTAATTGTGACATTCTCCAGCACTGTTAGGAATATTCCTCGCTGTTGCTTTGCCATCTTCTCTCTCTCTTCCATTTCTGAATCCTTCCGACTTACTCATTCAGACCTTTGCACTTGTTCTGAAGGGAAGCTGGCACACAAACGCAGGAGACTGCTCTGATGTTGTTAGCAATGACCTTGGCTTCAGCAGAAAAATGTTACAGCATACACTCTCCGTGCACACCCAGCCAGTGCAGGGAAGGCTGGTTTTGGTATATGCAAACTGATGGGAGCAAACCAGCTGCCACTTACTCCAGACTGTGTGCTGGTATTTCACTCAATGTTACCTTTCTCTACCACTTGTATTTAGGGAAAACAAACAAACAACAACAACAAAAAACAGGTCTGTAGAGATGAGAGGCTACAGCAATGATTTTCATACTGTGAATGCAAGCTAACCAATGTGCTCTTTGGTGAGCTGACATCTCAGAGAAGCACAGACTATCGAATATCCCTTGGCAAGGATGTGTTTCAGTTATGGACCATGCCAATAGCTGATCATCATCATTCATTCCTCAGGAAATGAGAAGGGGACCATGAGTGTTTCACAGCTGAGCCATTCACCAAGAGCAACATCTCTCTAGCTGTGCCTGGTGGGCCGAGGCTAGCAGATGCCATTGTTTTCTTGTTTGTTTCTTTGTTTTTCCACTCAGGTTGGAAAGAAGTCTGAAGTATCCTGGACTGGTGGACAGCCCAGCTCAAGCACACCGGGGCTGCTGGGCAGGGACACCAGCAGACTCTTCGAGTCTGTCCCAGAGCTCCTGAAATGTCCCCTGTCAGCCATCTGCATAGCGTTTGGGAAGGTGTGTGCCTCTCCCCCTTGCTTGGCCCTCCTTCCATCCCATGATTTCATGTAGGCATCCTGTAGCCTGTTCTACATAGTGAACGACCCAAGTGCACAGAGACACAGCCTCCCCATACAACTACTCCATCCGACAGCGGTCTGTAATCATCTCTGAAATCTTCACATTTATTATCATCAAGTGGCTATTGCTGCACATGACTTTTTCTTTATTTCAAACTGCATTGTAGGAATGCTAAAGCTGTTTATATAACCACTGTATTAAATCTCTTTTTGGTATTTATCCACTTAAATGTGTTTTTTGATGGTCTGTCTCCAGTGAGCTCTCATTTATGCTTCTTTACTCTCAATAAGCCAGAGCCTAATATGTTACCACAGAGACATGATCCGGCACAGACTGAAGTGCTCATGTGAGTAACCTGCTCAGAGACACTAATGGTTTGTTTAATATTTCATAGACACGTCAATTATAAATTCAGCTCATATTTGGAAGGCTTCTCTGCACACCACTAAATCACTTCATGCTTCCTGTAAACTGTCTGAACTGAAAGGCAAAGGTGAATCTGAGGACATACAAGGTTGCATACAGACATTTCCATACATAGGCCCAAAAAAAAATTAAAAAAAAAAAAAACAACAAACACTATCTGTTTTCCCCGATTTTGAGTAGAGGGGAAACACTACTTTGCCCTCCAGATTGTTCATAATTAACTGTCAGTCTATGATAAGGAAACGCGAGTAGTGATGGGTCAGTTTGTTCTCAGTAATTCTGACATGTAGCACACAGTCTCTTATATAAAGACACAGAAAGAGACACAGAAAAGAACACCCAAAAGGCTCCCCTGGATGACTCTTATTTTTATCTTGTGGAAGAGGAAACACCAGTTTTCAGTCTGACTGTGCACACAGAGATGTCTCTGTTAGCACACTGATATGGCAGAGATATTTTTAGCCAGATCATCTGCTTGTTTATGTCCCCCTTCTTTATCTCTTTTATTCATGAAGACTTCAAAATGCCTGGAGTCATAGGCTCCGATATTCCAGGGAAATTAATTTTAGATGCTGTACAAAGAGCAGAAAGCAGTTTATATTCTGCAGGAGTCAACGTACCTTGTCACAACAGAAGAGGGCAACCTTATACCATCTCACAGCTCCCACGGTCGGGGTCCCATCCACACACCCGTCCTCAAAGCAGAGTATTGCTCCCGGTCAACCACGACACACGGGGTGAAGAACTTAGATCCAAGAATCTTTTCAAAGACAGGAGCACCACTCATAATATCCATATTTTCTTTCCTTCTCCCACATTTCTGCTTCTGTTAGGACATGATCACAAGTGCTGAAGCTCCTCCTGCTCATTTTTTTTATTACTTTTTAATAGAATCATAAAATCATAGGATGGTTTAGGGTGGAAGGGACCTTAAAGATCATCTAGTTCCAACCTCCCTGCCATGTTTGGTTTGTTTGCTTGTTTAAACAGATTATTTGGATTCTATTTTAGATAATATCTATATAATCTACAGGGGTAGGTGATAGGTTTAAGAGTCAGGAACCAGGCTGAGCACTGGGAGAAGCAGCAGGTGCAGGTGCTGCAGGCTTGCCTAGAATCAACACTGAAGATGTAGGCATAACCTAAAGAGCTCAGAAGGTACCCAAACAAAGACAATGATGGATAAATTACAGCTGACAGGAGAAAAGGGTGAAGAGGGAATTATGTGTAGATGATACCATCATTTGTTGCGCTATTGGAGATGTAAATTGTCCTCAATCCTGTAAATTAGTCCCTGTAATAAGGTTTGCTATAGCACTTTGAGGCATTAAGGAGTCATCTTTTCATTTTTGTCTTCAGCTGTCAGAGACAGAAGTATGAGAACACCCTGAAAGTGTCATCATATATGGAGATTTAAGGGTAAAAATGGTTTAAGGGTAAGGATTTAAGGATTAAGGTTTAAGGGTAATGATTTAAGGGTAAGGATACCACATATTTGTGGTATCCTGAGATGCTACTGCTGTGTTTTTTGTTTGTCTCTCTCTGAATAGAAAAGAGGCAGGCTGAACCGAAGAGTCTTTGAAGGGAATGCTCAGAAAGAAGAAAATAAGTGAAATTAGAGATAGAAAGAAATAGATATGAAATAAACAGGAATAGTGGAGCCCTTGATTATTAGTTTAGCAAAAGGGGAACTGTGCAATCACATGCATCTGAATGCAGAATGCTAAGTATATTTACTACCATAGTAGCAAACTAAGCATCTAGGAAATCACTCCTGGCGGATCTGGAAAATTATCTAACTATCCAAGATACCTGGAACAGTCTTCTACATCACACACATACATGTACCTGTTTTGTTAAGGGGGAGTCTCAGGGCAATCCTTTCTTTACTTGGGGTAATTAATATACTTCAGTTACTGTACAGGTAATAACAGCAAGAGGCTGGTATCCATCAACAACTGAAATTATGCCCCTTTTTGTGCCTTAATAATTTTTTAATCTGTCCTTATATTTATTTCTAAAAGAAAAGCTTGTACCAGTGCAAATGTATTGGTAGAAGAGTAAAATAAATGCAACCCCATGTTGTGGGGTATAGTTTACTCTAGATCATATTGAATGAACTGAAACAGAGCATGCTGCAATGTAGATAAAAATGTAGGGAAAATTGTTATCCCTAACAATCTTCCTCTGCAAATGCCTAGCCTTGACAGTGCACAAGTATTGAACTCAAAGTGGTAGGAAAAAGGTGCATTGATGCATTGCTTCTTCTGCATGGGCTCTTGAGTAAAGACAACAGGAAGATATTAATCAGACCCTCTGAAATGTAAGATCAATCAAAACAGGGACCTCTGCTTACCCGAGGAATACCCAGATGTACTGATTGTCCTCTGCTGTGACTGCTCTCACCTTTGCCATTCCCCTTCATTTCTCTCTCTCCTTCCTATCTTTGCTTTCTTCTCTGCATCAGAGAGCATTCATCAGCACTGCATCACATTTCATTCATCCTTTCTTCATAGACACCACTCTGTATCCCACTAAAACTATATTTATTACCATCCCATTGCTCAGTCTGGGCTCACACAGCTTTCCCACAAGCTGAGCACGGTTAGGTTACATGCTCTGTACTGCTTGGAGTGTATGAATGCTTACCTGGATAGTGCTTAATTACTAGCAGGTCCTCAGTCACTAGTATGACAAACATATCAGTACAGTAAGCGATCATATAAGCAATCACTAAGCAATCGATGATCACAGTACCCATAAAACCACTTTTAACTCACTATAGCTGTAACCTCACCAGGAAATTGCCTATTTTTGATTATAGTATTTTTCTCTTCTGATTTAAATTGGGGTAAAAAGACTGCAAACAATCCCAAAGGAATATTTCAGTGTTATCTTATCCCCCAGAGCACAGTCCTGGAGTACAGTAAATAGATCAGAAGGGCAGGAAGTGCAGCTCTGTCGCAGATAACCCTGCTGGCCCGTCAGATACACCCTTTTCTATCATCAGCATGACGCACAGTACTGAAGTGACTGAAAATCACATTTCATCACCTTTATTTACCTAGTCCAAATGAGCACATTTACGGCTAGGCTGCCTACGAACATCTAAAGCAAAGACAGAGTCCTTGGCTTCATAGCAAATCCCATCGTGCCCCATGTGGTCCACCTCTTACTGAGCAAATGGAACTGACAGAGTCTGCTCAAATTTAACATTCATCAAGAACTTTCCCAGACACAGAGTTTCCAGTGGCTAATATATTTATTAACTAATCTTAAAGCACAGAAGTTCTGTAGGAAATAACATTTGAACCAAGTAGGATATATTTTCTGTCAAATGCTAGATAATAGGTTCCATGTACGGACAAAGAGCTGATTACAGAGCAGTATCTATGCATGATTTTGACAAGGAGGTCGGAAGATAAAATCACGGGTAGCTGCCAGAATTAATATACTTCAAGAATAAGAAATGCTGATCTCACAAAATAGATATACGACTGCATATATTTAACACTGACATACTTCATTTTCCTGGAATACTAAAACAGCCACAAATCCTGTCGAAGTGCTGAGCAAGAAAATGGCTAGACCACTAGGTTCAACACAATGTCAATACCAATACAGCCCAATGGTGACACGAATGCAGCTTGACGGAGACACAGCACAGGAGAGGCCCAGGGTCAGAGCCATTATTTCTATTCAGCATCCACCCAGGTGGTTCACTACAGCTGTTCTGCTGGTGTAACATACACAGCTCTTCATTGGGTATGATTTTACAGTGTGCACATAAGTAACTTGTATATTGATATGTACCAGAAAAAAAATCTGCTAGAATATTTACAGCTTTCATACCTCACCTGTGTTTTTTGAGTTCCTATACCACAAGCTTGGAAGAAAGTAAATTAGTTGCCATTAGTAGGAAAAAAATACATCTGCACTTCTAATATAAATATTTTATGTATTAAAGGTCATTTATCAAAGGTTGCAATTGTATTAATCCTTCAGAAATAGCTCTGTTCAGTTGCACCCTTTTGATTGCAATTGTGCATTTGGATTACAGTGCATAAGAGTTAACGTAGTAGCAGCTTTTGTTCAGCCAGTTCAGACTGATGGCAATATTGGTAAATTAAATTGTAAAAAAAAAAAACAGGGCATCTCTTCTCATGTAATCAAGACATCTCTGTGTGCCACTTAAGAGCAGATGAGCAGCTTAGGAGCAATCCTGGCCCACTAAAGTCAGTATTGGGCTTGATATTGCCATAAACAGGGTGAGAATTTTGACCATAAATCAGACAAGAACTACAAGAATACATTTGCCCGTTACCTTACAGCAGTAAGATGTTGTAGTTTGGGCATTGCTGAGCACATAGGGACAACTGGAATTTATTTATTTATTCATTCACTTGTTACAGACTTTTTCAATTGCACACACGCCTCTCTGAAGACATTAAGGATGTATGCACGCTATTAAAGATTGGGATCTCACGGATTCTTCTGGGAATTATATTTTGATTAAGAAGGCTCTCATCAACAGGGAAACCAATCAAAAGAGACAGTCACCATGCTCTGAGAGAGATAATCTGGTTTCTCAGAAGATGATAAAGATGTTACAAAGCTAGGCAGCTCTTATGGGTAGATGGGAAACTGAACATGGGAATAAAGGCCTGACTCACATCCCTGCTGGGCAGACCTGAGGTTCATGACTATCTTCAAAAACTGTGTTACTTGGTGACTATACATTCTCAGAGGAAAACGAGAAATTTACAAATAGAATACAACAGAACAGTTAAAAGGACTTAGAAAGATCACCAAGTCCAACAGCAAAAAACAAAAAGAAAAACAGTTCACCAAACATGCATCCCACCAAGGAATTTATGACAATACAGCCCAAACTTTCATGTGATACAACGTGGTGACATCAGCTCAGAACAGGAAAAATGGAAATACAGAAACAAATAATTGTGAAAAGTATCCTCAGTCAAGAATCTCAACCCAAACTACACAGGGTAGTAAAAAACATAAAAGCATTTTAAAGTACCTTAGTGGCTTTGAGCTGACAGATCTTAACTCATACAGCTGATAGAGCAGGAAGTTTTTAGTAGAGCCTGAAACATACAGTCAGCATTTTACAGGGGCAGAAAGTCTCCATTGTAAAGAGAATGGAAGCCTTTTTTTTTTTTTTTCTTAATTTACGCCAAATTTTGCCAGCCTGCTTATTTACACACTGAATAATATACAGGTAGAATGTAGAAGTACAGATAACAAAATTTAAAGTTGATTCTCCCAGTTAAATAAACCTCTCTGTCAGTTTAGATTATTAATTTTCAATAAAAAATTTCATATATGCTTGGAATGGAAATTCTGCATGTTGGAGTTTAAGAACAAACTTTCAGAATTGGATACAAGATGATCACCAACTACCTCTTTCCTACATATGGCCCAGATTCCAGAGATGCTGAATATCCCCTATATATCTAATATGGAAGCAACTGAGTTTGCTTCTAAATGCTCAATCTCCTCCAAAAATTTCCAGCAAATGAGGTAAACCTCAGGTTTAGAGGTTCAGATGTGAGGATGTTGCAGATGAGGTGTGGAGCTGAGCACGACCCATTCTGGCTCTGCAATACGCCTGCATGGGCATTTTCACACTGTGCTTCTAAAATGGGAGCTTGAAGGTGCAGCAGGACCAGCCCCTGAGCTGTGCTCAGGGAGCAGCTGGACCCAGCGATGCAGGGAATATTGCCACTGCTCTGAAGTAAGGCTCAGACACAGTGGAATAGTATTTCAAAATTGTCCAATGCATGGTTCTTTGACCACACTGGTGTTTTTTTTTTTCAAAAGGCAGTAGGGAATGCACGGATTTGCCTCTGGCACTTGGTAGAGACCTAGGAAGGATAAAGCATAAGGATCCCAAGCTATGAGGAAGACAAAAATGATTGTTCTACAGGCAACACTCCAGTAAATAAATCTATAGTACATTACCATGCAGTAATTACTCCTGGGCAGCCACATCTAAAAATAGTCAGTATCATTAGGACTTTCTACTGAAAAATAAATTAATCCATCTACCAAAATCCATCCAATCCAAAATTCCATCCAAAACCCATCTACTTACACAACATAGCTTGGAAATGTTATATTTTAGATACAAACTTGACTTGTATCGTCCTCCTATCTACATTATTTGACACACCATTGAGTATATATTCTCATGTCAGTGAATGAGCAGAGCAAATATGACAGTTGACCAGATGTGCACTGGGATTTTATTAATCTTATCAAGTATTATTTATCTTAGCTACCCAGGCTTATCAAAAAGATATATGTATTTCAAATATTTGATATTTTGTAACCTTTACAGAATACTGCTACTCTCACTAATCCCTCTGCCTCCTATGTATAAATAACCAGCAAAGACCTGCAGCAAAGGAAATTAAGATAAAGTATTTGTGAGAGCTAACGTGCAAAACTTAACCTGCACCTGAGACGCAAATTAAATTGTTTTCAAAACAAAAGTCCAAATTATTGTTCAAAATCCATTCTGTCATTTGCTCCAAAATACAAACCACAAATAAGAGAACATGCAGAGCTTGCTTTGTACATGGCTTTTGCCCACTAACAACTCTACTCCAAACTAAGCAGCACTGGGACAATGTTTGCTCCCAGTTATGCAGCATGCACTCAAGCAGTATACAGTCAAGTGTGTTTTAAAATGTGCCTATGTCTCTATTTATAGGGCTTTAAGAACAGGGAGTAGTGTGACATGTTTTAAGCATTCCAAGAGCAAAGCGTAGATGTCCTACGAAGAGGCTATTTCTCATAAAAGATGCCCTGATCCTTTCCTTGTCTTATAAAAAAGTTTTATTTTTCAATATAAAAGTATATTTAAAAACACAATTATTTGCTAAAAGCAATATAAAACTTTCTGGTTTTAACTTCATAAAAGTTTAACAAAACATAAATATCGTTTGCCACTTACATTCCTATATACAAGCCTTGCATCAGATAGTTACATAGATAGGAAATGGATGGCACGTGACTACAAAGGATTCAAATTCCACGTCAGATTGCACAATCACAGGAACACAAGGAGCAGCTTAAAATCCTCAGTCATTGAATTCTGTTTTGTTCTTTTTACAGTTATTTTCCTCTTTTCTCTGCAATAATACACCAGTTTCCATGGTCATAGCAGGAAGAAAGTATCAGAAGCTCAGGCACGTTCTCTTCTATCAGAGAGCACAGCTCCCCTTCCCGAAAAACATGATAATAACGCATGAAGGCTTTTGTATCCAATGCGTCAACAGTTTGGTCCCCAACAGATACTGCTGAATCTAAAGCAGAATCAGTGGAATCGGTTGTTGAAGTTCTTTTGAAAAACTTGCTGGCGTTAGACTTAACAGTATTATCTTTATTACAAATGCAGCTGTAGTCCCTGTCTTCCACTGAACCATTTATAAATGCAGCTTCTTCACTCTTGCTTTGAGCTACGCTTTGGTGTCCTCCATTTAAACTCAAATCCTTCAGTGCATCTGTGGCTGGTGACCACGGTGGCTTTTTGATAGGCGAGCTTTCTACAAACACATCATCATCATCTAAACTTTGTTCTTTCAACAGTGCCCCATGGTGACCTAAATCCAAACTGCAGTGCCGTGAATGCTGGATGGGCATGGTACTGTTTGTCCACTCTCCTTCATTCTTCAGAGGCTTCAGTTTTTCAGTTTGCTTCCTCATGGCTGATTCATCAAGGGATCTGGAGAAAAACCATGACCGGAGAGATCTTCCTAGAGCACTGTAAAATCTATTTTCTTCTTCCGAAATTTTCATGCAGCAGGCTCTGGATAAGCAATGGTCCGTATTTTGGGAATGTTTCGAATTAGTTTCTGTCTGCAGAGTGGTTTGGTAGCTGCAATCAGAGATGACTAGCTCTGCAGGGTGTATATCTTGGCTTTTCACAGCATGCACAAACTCACCCTTATCTCCAGATTGATTTGATTCTGAAAAATGCCGTGAGCACAAGGCCTTGTTCCAGGGAACAAATACGTCTTGTTTCTCAAAGCGACGATTCTTTTGTTCCATAGCCCAAACATAAACCATCATCTGGCCTCCAGGCATCAATACCCTTGCCATTTCCTTTATTGCTTTGATCCTTCTTTGTTTAGTTGAAAAATGATGGATCACTATGAAAAAGGAAAGACATCATGTATTGAATATTAGTATGGGAATAGCATTTTCTTCTTCAACCTACTCTATGTGTTTAATCACTTTAGTTGTCATATCACAATCATCATCCACTGCAAGTCAGCAACAGCGCAGAATTTATTAGTACCACAATGCAAGTTTACCCCAGTGTTCTCTTTAAGTCAAAATAAAACTATTGATCACTATAGTTGAATTTTCTTTCCATGATAATTTCCACATTTTCAAATTTCACTGTGACGTGGAATGAAGCTATGTTTCAAGATTTCCACACTGTTTACAGCTTCCTACTCACGTGAAGGAACCAATTTTAACAACCAAAGAATAGCTAAATCAGCTCTTTTCTCTCTAAACTCTCAAAAATCTTCACCTGGGCTGAGATTGGTCATGTTGGTCATGTTGGTCTCTCTATCATCGGTACTAGATTTGATTTGAATCAATGATGGACCAATTCCATAATTTGATTCAGATGGACTTGGAACCAGCCCATTCTACACACAAAACATTCCATGTAACCAAATAGCAATATATAATAATTGTATATGTTGTTAGCTGAAGACTTCTCAATTTATTAAGAAAAAATAATTATCTTTATATGTGCTGCTTGACAGCAGCCAATTCTACTTGTTGAAAGATTGTTATTTCAACATTGCAGTTATGAAAGACTGTCCAGCTAGCCTTGACTTTATTCTAAACAATGATAAGTTACCTACGGGGAAAAAATGTAGCTTTTTTACCACAGGACAGGAAAAAACTTTCTTGGCAGTTGATATTAACTAGGTCCTCAGAAGCATCTGAGAACACAAGACAGAAAACTCAGGGAAGAGTGCCCCTATCTGTATGGTTACTGTTTCTTTCCAGCTCCTCCCAACTCTTGTCAATATTTTCTTGAACTTTGGAAAAAACAGCCAACCAAAAAAACAAAATAAACCCACCACAAAACAAAACAAAAACTATTTCCATTTCTTAAACAAGATGGGAAGAAAGGAACTGATACTTTCTCTCCTAATGGAGGCAGGCTGTGTGCCACCACTGAGCCTCCTGTAAACTAGGGTCAAAACTGACAGCATAAGCATTTGAGCTTATTTCACCAGAAGGAAGTGCTAACCAACCAAGAGCTTCTGCGCAAATTCTATTTAAACAATTCATTTAATGGATGAAATATTCTTCATGGTTAAAGTTACTTAGTCATTCTGGTGCTTCTACAGAAATACAAATCCTATAAACAGGAATATACCAGCAAAGCCACGAAGAGCGTTTGACTCTGCACACAAATATTTGACATGCAAAAAAAAACAACTTCATTTAAAACTAGATGGAGACAGATATACCATGTCTCTGTTCAAGAGGGATTGAAATCCATTATTGTTAAATGCACAAAAATACCACACAATCTTTTGATCTTATCATAGGAACACAGAATGGTTTGGGTTGGAAGCAACCTTAAAGATCATCCAGCTCCAACCCCCCTGCCATGGGAAGGGATGCCACCCACATGATCAAGATGCCCAGGGCCTCATCTAACCTGATCTTGAACACTACCAGGGATCGGGCATCCACAGCTTCTCTGGGAACCTGTGCCAGTGCCTCACCACCCTCTGAATGAAGAATTATTTGACCGAACAAAAAGTTGCTTTCTTTTTTTTTTTATAAGTCCCCTTTAAGTACCGAAAATCTGCAAGCTGCAATGACATCTCCCCAGAGCCTTCTCTTCTCCAGGCTGAACATCCCCAGCTCTCTCAGCCTTTCTTCATAGTAGAGGTGCTTCAGCCCTCTGATCATCCTTGTAGCTCTTGCTGGGAGCACCAGAACTGAATGGAGATCACCAGTTGGGGCCTCAGAAGGGCAGAGCAGAGGGGGACATCACCTCCCTCAACCTGCTGGCCACTCCTCTGTTGATGCAGCCCAGGATGCAGTTGGCCTTCTGGGCTGCACATGTGCACTGCTGGCTCATGTCAGGTCTTTTATTGGTATAAATATTAGATAGGTAGGCTATCCTTGAAAGTCAGCATATCTAATAGAACTGAAATTATGCTACAGGACCTAATATATGGATAGAGTTCACTGGTTAACTAATTAATACAAAAGCAATTTTATATAAATACTGCTTGCATATTAGCCACTCTTTTCTCCCTTTAAAATTTTGTTCATATGTGAAAAAGAGATTTTAAAATACATTTTGGTCATAGATTGAGTAGTTTGTTGATTGCTACCAGTAATAATTTTCATGTTTTATATTTTTGCTGATACAGTCAAACAGTCTGAAAGGAGTTTAAGAACTGAATTTAAAATGTAGACTGTAACTGAGTAGTCTAACTATTCTTTGTCATCTATTCTTTTCCAGTTTTTACTTCTCAAATTATGAGCAATTCTTTTCAACGAGATAGGTCAGAGGAGTCAAGATGCTGAGATTCTTCACTCAGAAAACAGGCACTTGAACACTTCTAAATTCTCATTGCATGTCTATTCTAAGAGAAATTTGTGTTCTTAATACATAATAGTTGACATAAGTTTTGAGCTCTTCTGTAGAGAAAGACAGTTTTCTCCCTTTCAATGCTTTTGCTGGTCAAAACAGATCCTAAAGAGGAACCCAAAGTTTATCTTGACCATGCAATGTGTTTAAACTACCAGCAGCCATGTTTATACTAGTTGTTACTTGTTTAAAATGCATGCTGGAAGGAAATCTTTTATCCACAGGGTAAACAAGACCACATATAAACAAACAAATGATCCACATATTTCCCTGGTCAACAGCACATCTGTGCAATGGACCTATTTTTTTTTTTTTAATTTTACTACATTCATTTCAGCTATATGTGCTGCAATTCTCAGACAATTATTTCAAAACAAACAATTGAAATGAAGATACATGGAGAAAAAAAATAAAAGATAACCAATTTGGATTTGCTGTGGGAAAGAATGTATTCATGTTGTCTTACCTCCAATGGAAATGACTGCGTTGAAGCACTGGTCCCTAAAGGGAAGGTTAAGGTTGTCACATACCAGAACTTCATCGCCTCTCTTCCTTGCAATTTCTACCAGTGGTCCACAGTAATCACAGCCGAGAGTATACACCTGACTGTTGACACTGAGATACTTTCCAGTTCCACAACCTAAATAAAAGAATATTCTTTACTAGATTTGAAGTCACATGTTCCACACGCTACTTATTCCTCTCAAAGCACTGAAAACAATGAGGATTAGGTCAGGGGGTGTGTTGTCTTTCCTAGTTCTAAGGCTTCCTGGAAAACAAAATGTGTGTTTGCTCCTACTAGCCTAACTCCTGAAGGACTCATTTGGACTGCTATTATATGTTCACAGCATTAGGAACGTAACAGTACCAATATGACCAGTAAAAATACTCATTGCACAGCCCTGTGCAACACCAGGTTCTGTGCATTTCTCTGGGGAAGAAGGGTAAGTGCAGGTGGGAGGAGGAAGGAATGGTTCTCCGTAGCCACTATTGCACATCTCAGAGCCATGCTCAGTATCAAGCAGCATACTGAGCCGTTATATAGCCTGGTAACCTGTTTCAAACAATGAGTAAAAATGGGCACCTGATGGAGTAAGGATGGGGTAAGTTTGATGACCCTTTTCCTCAATACCCTTCCAGCTTCCAACTACTTTCTGTTCAGAGGATTTCCTGTAGCTAGTGTGCTTTGTCTTTTTAGTGACTTCCAATAGATCTCTCTTTCAATTCCTCCCCAGCCTCTGCTAAATCCCACACAGTACCTCTCCAGCACATCCCCACTTCCAGGGGGAAGGACTAGAGAAGGGGATGCATTGGCCCAGACCCAGGTCTCTGCACTGAAGCCATCATAAGCCATGTTAACAACCCCACCAAGATCTACAGCCAGCAAGGTCTCTGTGACTGCATAACAGAGGAGAGGATTTGTCTCCAAGAAATACTAAACCACAGCTGTCACTGACACAAGGCAGAGAGGAAAATTTTAACTTGAGATACAGATTTGAAAATTACTGATTCATAAAACTCCTGCCATGTTGCAGGCACTTTCTCTTTCTATCTTTGTTCTGACGCATTGTAACACATGTAAATGTAATGAACAGTCCCAGCATGTATTCTACCTAAAAGTATGTCTACTAAGGGCCTGTGCTATACTAAATTGAAATCTTTCAGAGTGTTCTTCAGTACTGTATGCATAACAGGCACTTTTCAAAATTAGATTAGGAAACATTCACTGCAGTTATGGGTCAGTAGTGAAGAATAATTTCTGAAAGTTGACAGCCAAGCAACTGGGTAGCAGCTTGGCAAAGAGAGCCATCTCAGTATTGGTAATTCAATTTAAAGGCCTGGAGTTATCTTTAGAAACATCACTGCTTCTTGCAGCGCTGCTGCTGTCGTTGATGTTAATGTGCACCATTATCTAGAGAGACAGCACAGGAACTGCTGGAGAACAGCACAACACTTCCATGCTGAAAAAAAGAGCATCTTTCTAAAGCAAAAATCAAGCATTATGCTTTGAAGTGACACTTAAGAGAAATTGAAAAAATGATTATTAATACAGATCAAGGAATATATGCAATAAAACACGAAGCTCTGCATGTTGGGTAGAAAGTGTAAGCTTTAAAATTAGGATAAAGTATTATCAGTTAGTAAAAGGAACACATTTAGTCAAATGTATATTAATTTAGAAGATTCAGTTGCTTAATACATGTGTTTTGGTGGAGTGCTTTGTAATAACAGTGAGTTTTCTGAAGTACATGGTCTGCTCTGGAATGAAGCCAAATAACAGTATATATATGTATTCAATACAAGCCAAATAACACTGTTGGTACTCTAAAAATCTACATTTGCAGGAGATTCACTTTTAAATGAGTCATCAGGAGGGTGGGTTCCTTCATGAAGCTATAAACAGCCATCACACTATTTCCCTTTATTCTCATGAATGAACAATAATAAGACAATTAGACAAAATGCTATTTTATTCTGCTACTATTATCATGCTTCATGTAAAGCTAGCAAACAAAAATATTTTAATAAAAGGTGGTATTAAACAGAAGAAGAGATTATCAATTGAACATCTCATTTTGAAAAATGTGGTGCCACTAGGCAACCCTCCCATCAAAATGCTTGCTGAAAATAAATACTGCAGTCAGATTCCTGTAGGTCTTATTAAACCCCATAAAAGGAGGTACCTCATGTGCCTTGATGGGAATATTTTTGCTGGCAACTGTAAGCATTTACCTTCTGTACAGATGCATCACATGTGTTTAAATTATTTCATCTGAAACAGTAATGGAGTGATCTTTCAGCAACCACTGTGATAACTGCTTTTAAAGCCTCAAAGAACTTCAGCAAAGCTTCAGATGACTTTTATTGAGGTGACAAAAAATGTTGGCTGAGAAATACCATGTTAAGCTGACTGCTGAATGAGTAGATGCCACAGGACATTTCCTGGGGTAATTTGTGAAAATGGTGCAGAAATATGATAGATGCATATCCAAAATAATAGGAGTCCACTGTTTTTCTGAGAACTACTTGACAACAGCAAAACTGTATATTATCTTTTGATTTTGGTCTGTAAGAACTTCAAAGATGCTTTTCTCTGATAGGATAAGGCAAGAACATAATTTATTTTGTACATCTGTCCACCATGCTGTGTAAACACATTTTACTAGTCTAAGCAGTGAGGAGAATGCAATGATACAAAGGAGCACCCAGTTTGCAATGATGTACTGCTTAGGGCTGAATGCATAATACAAGCACAAAGCAAACACACCAGGACCTGGAAACCCCTACAATGCCTGCAAGTGCAACAGAAAATCAAGGTATAAATTGAACATGTAGAGAAGACAAGGCCATAGCAGAAAAATAAGGTTTTGGTGTCCAAACCTCACTTAGGATAATGGGGAGATTCTCATATATATATTATATATATGTCAGAATATTTCTCTGAAGTTAAAGCCTTAATAGTAGAAGTTTTAGAACAAATGAAACACAACAAATTGTGCAGACCAGCAGTACTGAGAGATCTAAAGAAACTGAGATATGAAATAACTGAGCTATTAACACCTTTTTTTTTTTTTTTCCAAAAAAAAGTGCACCAGGAGAATGACAGACAGCTAAGCCTGTGGGAAAACTGGTAGATTAAAGATTAGCTCAATCTTTAGGTAAAATTGTACTTACTAGCTGCCCGATACATTGTCAAAGAAATAAAATAAATTGCATATGACATCTAATACTGTTTAAAAACAGTTTTCAAACAATCTCTAGACAAATTTAGAATACTTTTTGCTCTAGAGGATACCTATGATTAATTTATAAACTAATAAGGTTTATAGACAATATTTCATGCTACCCCAGGGAATGGCTTACCTATGTCAGCAATGAGACTGCCAGGCTCTTGTTCCAACAGAAAGTTTCTAACACGAGGCCATGCTTTGCTCTGCAGATCATTAAAGTAAGCAGCTGTATTTTCATACACACTATGCACATGCTGCTTTTCTAGCTGGGTAGCCTCATGTTCCATCCTGAAAACATAATGAAGAAAGATTATATACAGCCAAACAGAAAGTGTTGTAGACTACATTTTATAGACATACATAATTCATAACCTTGTAAGCTTACTTTTATAAAATCATTACACCCATCTAACAGGCATCATATTTATAAAATTCTTTTTAATCAAAGAATCTGGTTTTATTTCATGAAAGTCAACAAATATTTTGAATGTATCTCCTGCCTTGAAGAGCATTACATGACTGCATGTACTACTCAATAACATGCATATTCCTAAGGAATTTCACCAATGTAGTAAGAGCTTACCTGATGCAAGAAAGGGCATGAATGCAGCAGGAACAGAGAATGATTAAGAAAAGGAAGTTAAGAATAGACTTTCCAGTTATGACTATGGTGAATAGGTAGGCAAAACACTATTATGCTATTTGAAATATAGCCTGTACCCTGAAACCAAAGTCCCTAAATGAAGACTAAATTATTTTTGGTTTATCTACTCTCTAGATGTAATGAGGTGGTTGTATTTTTCAACAACAACAACAACAACAACAAAATTAAAATAAAGATCAGGATTTCCCTACCCCCACCTGTCCAACAAACACAATCTTTTTAATTTATAAAATGGGAATTAGTCCCAATGGTCCATTTTGGCTGTAGCATCTTTGAATCTCTCTCTTCAAAGCATTTGTATTCAACCTTTTCATAATCCCTACTTTCATTATTTTTCTGGCACAATTCAGTCTTCTTTTATGATTAATTAGTTCAGCTTTTACTAGCTCAATATATAGGTATATATACATGTGTGTGTATAAAATTCATTAACAGAATAGTAAATTCCCACTGACATTATCAGTGTCATCCTGAGGGGTGAAAAACCCTGACAGCCTGAACAAGAGACATAGATATTATTGAAATATAGACTTGAAATGATATCACATGCCATAAGTTATTCAATCAGAGCTTTTCTCAGAATGCCATTTCAAGTTATGTTGTCAAATAGCATGGGTTATTTGCAGTAATTTCAGGTAATTATTTCTTAGAGTCTAAAGCCCATTCTTTTTTCTTATTTTACCCTTAAAACAGATTGGGTGTTTCATGCCTGCAGCTATATTTCTTCTCTACCTCAAAATATACTCTATTTTGTTGCCCAGAAATTCTCTACTTGTAAGGAGAAATTCCAAAGACTAACAATGATTTGTTTTCCTTTGTCATCCAGTATGCTCCTTGCTCTATTCTATATTCACATGTGATTACTGTGTGGTTTGGTGTTTCCAAGTGTTTTTATCTTTCCACTTCAAGTTGTTTGTTCAGACTTTGCAGTTAAAAAAAACAAAAACAAAAATAAAGTGATAGAGAATGTTTTCAGCCATTCATGCTGAATGCTACAGAAATTTCACTTTATGCCAACTACAGAAGTAGCTGTCTGAACTAAGGCTTAATTTAGATATGTTAGATAAACAGAAAAAACATCTTTGACTTGACATAGAAAATAGTAAGAAGTTTCCCATTGATACAACATTATATTATACTTTTCCCAAAATATCTTTATTAAATTCCAATGTAGGCTGGACTTCAGTTTTCTACTGAATCACAAACCCATTAAGTTTTTGCCTTTAATTTTCTCATTCACTGGGACTGGTACTGAGCATCCTGTTATACACTGGACAGGTGAGAGATCCACAACACTGCATTAGAGGTTATTATTTTTAGCTACACAATCACTATCAAGATAACATTATAAAGAATTTGATATATTGACATTATCAAAAATAATGTTATTAAGATAACATTACTAATAAACATTATCAAGACAATCATCTGGTTATAAATTTAGGATAATAGTAGTCTACAAAAATGAAAATGATTTCATTTTTCATTTACCCTTTTATTACAATTTTCATTCCCCATGAGAATGTGTATTTTGCAAGTAATTAAGTCACATGATAAAATTAGACTTGCCAGTTTGACTTTCCAGTCAAAAACCATAACATTGACATGACTTACTTTGCAGCACAGCAGGGAAATGTCCTAGCAATAAATCTCTTCATTTTAATGTTTACAGAAGGCAAGAAATCTGTGGAGTCTGACCTGGCCTGCAGTTGTACAAGTTTCACACAAGCCTGATGTCACTGAAAACATCAGAAACTTAGAACTGAACAGAAACTTTGTAAGCCAAACAAAATACCTCTATTTTTCTTTAAAAACAAAAACAGCAATTATAATTCTTTTGCCTTAAAAAATATCAGACAACATCTCTGTTGCACATAAGTTGTAGAAAATATTCAGTTCATCCAAATTCTGTATTGTGACTTCCAGGATAATGGGAAAGTCTGTTTTACAAAGGAGGTAATGAAAATGTAAGATGCCCTGAAATCCCACTGCTTCAGCATCTGCTCCAGTTCTTGCTTACATTACCTGGAAGCTGTCCAATAGCTAGAGAAGAGAAGAAGAGCAGAAGGTAATTATGGGCATACTTTCCCCATGCTCAGTTCTCTTTCTGTGTGTGTGTGTGTGTGTGTGTGTGTGTGTGGTAGCTTATGCTCCCATCCAAGGGCTCAGGGCAGTGAGGGCACCATGAATTGGCAGCCAGCTGTTCAGTGACTGCACCAAGTCTTGACAAGTCCCTAAAATGGGGAAGCAGCTTAAGAAACATGAGACTCCTGCAAACAAGCTGTTTGGATAACAAATGAAGAGCAGGATTCCCTTCCCTCTTAATGCTTCCTGGTTCATCTATGTTTCTTCATGAGACAACAACAAGCCTTTGTTGTGGATGATCTATGAAGTGAGATAATGGGATGAAAGTTGTAGTGTTATTATTGCTGATCTTGCAGGGAAATGGATCACCACTCCATCACATGAAGCTGTGGCATATTAACAACAATGTTGGAAAGTAAATAGGTTACAGTCCATTGACTCTTGAAGCAAACCATCACTGTTTTGCTTTCTCATTAAAAATAAATAAATAAATAATAAAGCAAAATAAACTAAAAAATTACAGCTTCCCAGGAGGTAAAATGAATTCATGTTAGTACCATCATGTTAGTACTCAGCAAGTTTGCCGATGACACCAAGCTGTGTGGTGCAGTTGACACGCAGGAGGGAAGGTAAGCCATCCAGAGGGACCTGGACAGGCTGGAGATGAGGGCCTATGCACACCTCATGAGGTTCAACAAGGCCAAGTGCAAAGTCCTGCACTTAGGCCAGGGTAAACCCAAGCACATACATGTATACAGCCTGGGAGGAGAATGGATTGAGAGCAACCGTGAGGAGAAGGACCTGGGGGTGCTGGCTGGCAACAAGCTCAACATGAGCCAGCAACGTGTGCTTGCAACCCAGAAAGCCAGCTGTATCCTGGGCTGCATCAAAAGAAGCATGGCCAGTAGGGCAAGGCAGGGGATTGTCCCCCTCTACTCTGTTCTTGTGAGGCCCCTTCTGGAGTGCTGCATTCAGTTCTGGGGCTCCCAGCACAAGAAGGGTGTGGACCTGTTGGGTGCAAGTCCAGAAGAGGGCCACGAAGATGATGAAAGGGCTGGAGCACCTCTCCTGTAAAGTCAGGCTGAGGGGCTTGGGGTTGTTCAGACTGGAAAAGAGAAGGCTCCAGTGAGACCTTATAGCAGCCTTCCAGTGCCTAAAGGGGGCCTACAGGAAAGCTGAAGGACTTTTTACAAGGCCAAGTAGTGACAGGGCAAGGGGTAATGGCTTTAAACTAAAAGAGGGTAGGTTTACATTAGATATAAGGAAGAAATTCTTCACTCAGAGGGTAGTGAGGCCCTGGCACAGGCTGCCCAGAGAAGCTGTGGATGTTCCATTCCTGGATGTGCTCAAGGCCAGGTTGGATGGGGCTTTGAGCAACCTGGTCTAGGGGAAGATGTCCCTGCCCATGGCAGGGGGGTGGAATTAGATTGTCTTTAAGGTCCCTTCCAACCCAGAGCATTCTATGATTCTATGATTCTATGATTCCATGATTCTATTACCATATATTTTTATAGCTACACATCTCACTAAGAGTTCCCTGAGTCCAAGAGAATCTAATTTAATCTTTTGCCATTAACATTTTGAAACCTTTTAGATAATTAACTTTTCAATGGTACTGCTTTAAAAAAACAAAACAAAACAAAACAAAAAAGTCAAGTTGCTTAGACTTTTTCTGTTGCAGCTGAAGTAAGAAATGTATTTAACCGTGTGACCTTGAAATGACAACAGCCAAAAATTAATAATCCCAGTTTCCAAAATGTTAAAAAGTCAGCATTCTCACCCTGCACACCCATCCCTCACCCCCCCATGCCATATTTTTTGTCAGTTTTGGAATGATTTGGCCAACTGCACTAAGTACCTCTGTCTAAAGAGGTCAAAACAGTTGCTGGCTACCAGATTCAAGGGGTGCCCTAATGCTGAAAAGCAGGAGGTAGTGTTCAGTGCAAAAAATCTGCCTCTTCCACTGCCTACCCAAAGCTTTCTATACCTAAACCAAAGATTTTCACATCTTCCTACGTGTACCTTAGCACATATCATGTCAGCACCACTATTTTAATTTGATTCATAATACAGTGAAGTCTTGAACTGGCTAAGCTCAGTTCCTCCTATGACTGCCTCTACTGCCAGGCCAGTTACAATACCCAGAACATGTTCCAAACTTTTTGTCAATGGCCTCTTGGAAGCACCCTGTGATTTTCACAGTAGTCATCAAACCCTGCATCACTCCTATTTCTCTTCAAATCAATTGCTCTTGATTAATTTGAGCCATTGGCTTTTCGTTTGTCTTCTCTCTTGCAACTGCCTGTTTTCTCTAACCCTTTGATGAGCAGCAGGAACTTACTCAACTCAGCTTGAGAGTCAGATAGGCAAGATTTCAGTCTCTTAATGAGGGCTCCTCATAGTTAAATTCTTCACATGCTAACAGGAATTCTCAATGCCATTTTGAATTAGCAGACTTCCTACTTCAAAGATCTACGAAATTCAGCACAGTTGTGTCTCTTCATGTTGCTACAGCAACGTAAATCTTGGTTACACATGC